GTAAGGCCTTCTCCCATAACACACTGTTCCTCTCCTAAATTTATTGGCACCCACCCGTTTGTCGTCGGCTTCTCCTCGTTGCACAACCATATAGCCCCACGCGGTGGCCGGTGCGATCGGCTGAGGAGAGCCCGATGCGACGAGTCAGGCCCGGTGAGCCAACATGTGCACGGCGAGAATCGAACAACGCGCTGTTGCGTCGGCACCGTTCGGAGCCTATCGAAGCCTTGGCGCGCGTGTCAGTATTATTAGACCCTCCTCCTCGCCCCAGCAGGTTGCAGCCGAATGGAAGGGAGCCAGGATCATTCGCTCGCGGTATAGCGCGGTCGCCACCCGATTTGTTACCTCGAGAAAAAAAGAAACAAAAAACTACAGAACACAACACTAGCGAACACACAAACGTCAGATGGAAAGCACGAGCCGGTTGCCACAGAGCCAACGTGCAACCCTTTTCTGTCTTTTTCCTCCTCCTCCGAGCCTGCGATCGAGAGGAAGGAGAGATGGATGGACGAATAGACGCGACAACTGCGATAGATAATAGCGCGCCGCTGCCTGTTTGATCCATTTATCTGGTTTTGTTCTTCGTGCCTTGCTTTTTTACACTCTATAGAGAACCCTTTCCCCCCGCGATATATAGCTGTCGGCCGGAGCTTCGCTTTTTAAATCCCTCTACTCGCTGCAGCTTCCGCCTCGCCACGCTTCTCTCCGTTAACCTATTATATGGTCGGAAATATGAATCGTATCTGTTTTTATTTTTAATATTTTGTGTGCTTCTTTTCCCTTACATTCGCTTTTCCTTTTCCACGGTTTTCAGTTTCTCCATTTTCAGCGTCTGCCGCTCGCCCACGGCAGCTGGCGTTATAGCGGCCCTGCTCCCCTATAGTCTTCCGCACCGGTTCTCGTGGTAGTGACATCATTGACAGCACGCCGCAAGGACGTCTGAGCAGATTTTGGCAGCCCGACAAACACTGTGCTCCGGGCACCACTCCTCCACTATTATCTGTTTCAGTTCACCCACACCATTTAATAACTCACGCCGTTTACAGTTAATGAGCCGGCATCTTTTATGAGGCATCGTGTTTATCGAAATAGGCGGTTTACTCATCCACCAACAGCGATACGGACGATCGAAGCAAACCCATGCCGTCACCGTCGTCTTGCTGTCCCGCTATTGAATGCACATGCAGTGTCCGCTCGCGGAGATTTAGAAGGTTCCCAGACAAACTGAACTCCGTTTGGTTGCATGCGTAAGCATCACCAAAGCTCTCAACGGCTCGGCTCTAGCGGTGTTTCGCCCGCAACTGGTAGCCGGCTCACGTACGCTGCATATGTTCTCGCTGTCGTTTCTCCCACGATGATTTGTGTGTGCACTGGTTCCAGCGGACGTAGCAATAAACGCCAAGGTGACTTGCTGCTGAATAACGCCGACGGCTTCGGATGAATATTATTTTGTGCACCAGTACGAGAGGCGTAAGCCACTCCTTCTTTTCGTTTATGCGTCGTGAGGCGTTTTGGTATGACTGTCAAGGCGTTGTTGTTTGCGTCACGTAGGAGTGATGCCTCGCGCGGGGCGTCCCGAAAACACCTTCGTTAGAACACTTACACATGCGATAAACCCTGCTGCCATGCATCGCGAATTCACCGGCGTTAACTGGCCGATATCTTTTCTCTCACTATTTATACTACGCAAACAATACTCACGCTTCAAGCACACACCTCGCCTATAGAGCTCCGCGTGCATTATACGAAACACACGGGTAGCGCTGAAATACGTACTGTCGCCTCCCGCAACCTCGATACAAGCGAGCGAGAGATTAGTTCGACGCAAGCTCGGCACGCCTTGTCATACCTTGTCACACCTCTATATACTTTCTCACCTTTCAAGCTCTCCTGCTTATGCTTTCGGTGGCTGCAAGTAATGGATAAGACGTAGCATTGCGAACAGAGTGATAGGTAGAGGAACTTCTCCACTGAAGCGACTGAAACATCACCTGTGCGGCGGTGTGTTTAGTAGGGTTAATGATCACACGCTGATGCTGCACAGATGTGAACACGTGCTATAGAATGAGACGCTTTTAAATTAAGCCATGCAACTCTATAACGCACTCGGAAACGCATTCTATTGATTGTCATTCCCAGGCAGGCGACGCATGTCAATTTTAGACCAAAGTTCAATTTGTATTATGGGGGTCGTCTTCGTCTTTTCTCATTTTCACAGACATCCCAATTGTTTTTCTCTTTTTTTTTTTCGCCGTGACGGCAAATAAGGTTTTTAGTATAGCCACCTCTATGACATGAATAAAGCCAACCTATCAATTCCACAAAGTATACTTGTTTGTTTGATTCGCTGAATATGTCTGCATGTTAATGCACGAGCCTATATAGACCACGACACAACTTCGGACGTGTGCCCTCATATTTCGCAACTGCCGCACATTAAATCGAAGCGCTTGGTAGTGAAGAAAAATACTCGTTAACTTAATGAAAAGCGGATGCCAGCAATTAAAAAGAAAAAAAAAAACAGCGGCAACGTACTCCTCATAGCGTGACAGAAACACCACTTACATCATTGCTGGTCCTGAGTGTCTGCATATCATTCAAAACCAGTTTAATTACCAGTAACACGCGCCATGCACGTTTGTATTTCGATAATGCCATGCTGTCACCTGCGTCAAAAGAGTAACGCCCTTCGTTTTGTCATGTCTGAACCACATCTCGCCTTTTCCGCTCTTCTATATAATAGACACTGAAATTCTACATGGAACTAGATTGGCGAGGTAAAGCCTTGCTAGATAGATAGGCGGTCCCGTTGAAACAAGTTTTGATGCTTGGACCGACCGATCACGTTTAATAAGGCGCCCGCGCATTGCTTACACTTTAGCAATGTACCACTCAGTATACCATTTGCTGCGTCATGCAGAGTGCGTATATCGATAAATTTCTTTCGAAGGGGGGGGGGGGGGGGGGGAGGGGCCTTTAAGCACCTTAAGGGCCTTAATATATATATATATATATATATATATATATATATATATATATATATATATATATATATATATATATATATATATATATATATAACCACTGAGCTATTACGGCGGCTATCCTCCCTCCAGACACTTTATTGGCTTTATATGTGAATTTAAACGTGGGAGTGTCAGCCAGCGCCTTCCGTAGCCATAGCGGCGAGTGTAGAACACCCTTTTATGAGCCTGTGTGGCGTCACCTAGCACGTGAACCTATTACGAGCGTGCAGCTGACCAATAGTCCCTCGTATACAACCTAACGGCACCATTTTGGGGGGACAAATCCACCCGCTTGCCGGCCACGCCATTAGCGCCGTTGCAACGTGCTCATTTCAACAGGACCAGTATGTAGTTTAGTGAGACTTAGTTGTGTCCGTCGACGTTTTATGTGACTTTCGTTTAGCCTCCAGGAACGAAACTGCTTTCAGCGTATATGGAGAAAATCCACGTCGCGAAAAAAAAAAGGGGGGGGGGATATCCGGCGTATGGGAGCGTGCTTATCCTCTACAGGCCACATTTGCCAGCAGTCCTCAATTTGCTGTGGGGTGGTTAGAGGCAGCTTCATGCTGTACACGTCGCTCGTCTTACCCGTTCAACTCTCATGCGACCTCGAAAAGATCGCGCAGGAGTTTTTTTTAAAAACAAACATATGACCTACTTTTATCCCACCGGCAACGCGTTTTCATGCCAGTTAGAGACTCGTTTCAATGCCGCCGCATAGATATCTGCTCGTCGCAATTGGTCCGACGCGAACAACAACGAAAGTAAAAGGCGGAAAATATTAAAAAAAGGGGGAGAAAGAGTTAGGCTGCGCACCGCTTCAAACACGGCCAGGTCTTCCGGCATCGACACCGAAAGGCAGCTGGTGGCGTAGGAGAGGATTAAAAGTGGAGCATGGCTTCCCATCCTGGATGACCTCATCGCGTGTAATTTTTTTCTAGTTTATTTGTACGTACGCTGGGACTTCTATTTACAGGCTTCCTACTCATGTTAAGCGTAAAACTCGATACACAGGTTGGAAAGAAAAAAAAAGAAAAGCTGCAGCTCCCATGCTGTGCTTGCCACAAGCGCACATAAAAACGGCCCGTTTTGACATCCTAGAAGCTGGTTGGAGTTCTGCATTTTATTAAAACTGTGGAGGAGGATGCACGCAGTAGCCACAATCACGTTTCGCATGATGTCAAGCAGACGGCCGGTTAGCACAACCCTGCGTGAATACAGGTTGATATTCAGATGTCCCGGTTTTCTCGACCCCGCCCTTCTCCCCCCTACTTTACTCTCTCTCTCTCTCACACACACACAAACACACGCACACACACAATCACGCACCTCGAGATGTTTCGTGCGCAGTGCGACCATGTAGCATGCAACGTTATATAACAGTTATTTTTCTCAGCTGTTACGTCATCCTTATAACGCTCACTGCGGCGGGGGGTGATAAATTTAGTATAACTACTACTACTAACACTAGTCGTATAAGCCTACGATCAATTACCACCATCTATCACTATCTAAACGGCAGCGGATCCTCTTCAATAAAAGCAAAAAAAAAAAACAGGATCCGCGTCCAAACAGATTCTTGATAGACTTTCTTGTGATTCATCATAAAGTAAAAAGTGTTTTCAGGGCTGTTCTACGAAACAAAATCGCTACGGGACTTCATGAATGAAAGACATCTTCGAGTGCCAAGCATCGTCCTTTCGCACCGTTCCAATAGTAAAATAAATAAATAAATAAATAAATAAATAAATAAATAAATAAAGTAAAATAAATAAATAAGTGAAATATCCCGAAACTCATGCATATAACAAAGTCGGCGTTTTATTAATTAAATATCTCTTAAAAAAGAACAAGAACTCACAGTTGAATTACTAGCCAAAAAAAAAAAAAAAAAATCGGTCAACGTAACTGTCAGCAAGACGCGGCCAATCGTAAACGCGGGAAAGGCAAACATGAAATTCGATCACCACTCACCTTCCATTGGTGTCCGATTTGCCCCTAGCTTTCAGCAGTTCACACTGGGTGTGTTCCAAGGCTGCGAGGGAGAAACGAAGAAGAAGAGATCGGCACTCGCGAACACGAAGAACGCGTCTTTCGGGCGACAACAGACGCAGCTTTGTGACAACTGATAAACCGCAATAAACCCGATGTGGAACAACAGCGGCGCGACGGTAAAGCACAATAACGTGGACAGAAGTTTATGAGAAGTACTTCAATTGTGAAATTATGTGTGTCCCTGTAGTGAATGCTCTCTTTCTTACACTTCTCTCATGCACATTTCCGCTCAATGCGATTTGATTCAATTCGTGTCGAAAAGCCCGTCGAAAAAGGCTGACAGTATTAATAAATGAAACGTAATAGCCACTGCACTGGACGCAGCTAAAACGATGTTGACATAGCAAATAAACTCAATACGTGCTAAGAACTCAAGACAACCAAACATTTACCTTCTTTCGATTGCGTCAATTCATTTTCGAACTACAATTACGAGTTAATCTTTGCGAATAAACAAACGAAAACACCAAGAAGGGAGGAGAAAATACGTTTGGATTTGTCAATGCAAAGCAGGAGGAAAAACATTCCTTGGTCACTCGGTCACGTACTGCTACTCGGTGACTGGGATACGTGGAACTTCTCCCACTGTATCGTCATAGTTCCGCCGCCTCTGATAACGGCGTTCCATTCATGGCTTGTGTGACGTCATCGCTACGACAGCACTCAAGGTGTGCCTCACTCACTCACTCACTCACTCAATAAATAAATAAATAAATAAATAAATCAATCAATCAATCAATCAATCAATCAATCAATCAATCAATCAATCAATCAATAAGCGACTGAGGGCCAGACGAATGAGTTACGCATTGTTCGAAAACTGAACGTTAAACGCATGAAGTAACCAGGCACACTTACGTCGATAAGATAGCGAAACACTTCCGAAAGAGTGCGTGATAGAGCGGCGTTCAGTCCCGTATCCCCATCGAAGAGTGCAATCTGCGTGCTCTAAGCACAGCGCAGCACGACTCCTCATTGTCGTCGGCTGCTCATTGAAACCGTGGCCCATTCATTGGCATTGGCTTGACGCTTTCTGCCACTAGCGCCCGTGCAACCTTTAGGGCGGCGTCGACGAGTGATCAATCATGCATATGACGACATCCATCAGGATCATATAGCGTCTCCTACGGAAAGTCGATCGCAACTCGCGCCAAAGTGAACGAGAGCCGTGCGGGTGACGTCGACGCGCTGCGCAACAAACGCATTAGTGCTCACTCTCTCCCCTCGGAATGACACGGAACAACATAACGACTTTCACCGAAATTTCGTTATGTCACGCTGATAATTTTGTCGTGCCAGAAAGTGTTGCAGCTTGTGTTCGTTTCTCTGTCTCTCTTTCTGTACACTCTAAGAGAGATTATGCGTGTTACTACCTTTTTTTTTTTGGCGAGCCGCGACTTGTCAAGAATCTTACTCTCCTTTGAAAAGTTGCACCTCCCATGACCCTCCAAACAGAGGTCTCCGAAGGAGTTAACTTACATCTTCGAATAGAATCATAAGCGCGACAAATCAGGACTCCCGTAAAGGAGTAAGAGGCAACTTTTTTTTTTTTCTTTGTGCAGTGTAAAGCGAACAGCTGTGCTTGAGTCTTTTGCTTAGTTTGCATGGTCGGTGACCAACTTCACGGATAAACTCGAAACATGCTGACACACGAACGGCAAGGTAAGACACAAAACCAAAGAAAGCTTTGAAGAACCGCCAGGCCTGTGCGCAACTGTCACAGAGAAAGATGGAAGAGCTGTCTCTCGGAGCCTTTTTTTTTAACACTATTTGGGCAGCTGCTCCAAGCACACTTGCAGGTACCCACTTCACCATTAATCATTGTGTAGAAGGCACTATGTAATCCTTTATCATTCTTCGGAGAAGCGTGGTACCTGCTGCACACTTGCAAGGAACATTGGGCAATTTTTTGTCTTGTGAATGACGGCGATGAAGCATTGTCAGAAGCTTTTGTAATCCCCACAATCTCCTACAGTGGGTATGAGCCGCAGTTAACAGGTGGACAAGATCAAGCTTTGGTATAGGGTATCGCCGCCGCGGTGGTCTAGTGGCTAAGGTACTCGGCTGCTGACCCGCAGGTCGCGGTTCGTATCCCGGCTGCGGCGGCTGCATTTCCGATGGAGGTGGAAATGTTGTAAGCCCGTGTGCTCAGATTTGGGTGCACGTTAAAGAACTCCAGTAGGTCGAAATTTCCGGAGCCCTCCACTACTGCGTCTTTCATAATCATACGGTAGTTTTGGGACGTTAAACCCCACATATCAGCCAATCAAAGGGTTGGAGCATTCGACGAACCACCTGGTTGCGCAATTCGCATAGTGTGACACCTGGTTGTTCCTTTGCTTTTCTTAAACGCTATATTGCTCGAGTGCCTAGCGAATATTGACAGGTGACTAGGCTAGCTTAGAGGAGGGAAGAGCGTCGTTATTTCATTATATTAAGACTTTAAAAGAGATGGCAAAACAAAAGTTTCGGAGGAAACGAAGCAGTCAAACGAACTATCTAGGTCCTAGATTCTCGGAAATTGCGAAAGGCTCGTCGGTACACTCATCGCAGCATCAGCGATCGAGCGTGCGTTTATTTGCAGCTCGAAATCCGTGACATTTCACGCGAAACATCACACGCACTTGTTAGACCGCACGAGATCGACATTCAATCGCTGGTTGCGACAGGCGAGGCCGTCAGAGCCAAAGGGTAACCCCGTTCTCACTCAACGTCGATTGATACGCGTGAAGAGTATCACCCGCTTCCACGAAGAAAACGCTAAAGGAGGCAAAAGTATATTCTGAAATGTCAGCTAGCGACTTTATGATGAGCAAAAAGCGACAAAGAAGTCCAGACGAAGATGTCGATGCGGCTGGAAGTCCGCGCTCAGCAGCCGCGGACACACTTACAAGTGCGCCCAAATCGCGGTAGGCTAGATAAAAAAAGAGGCTTTGCGAGATTTAAACAATTACTAATAATTACTACAGCAGTGACTTTCCTGCGGCCTTTCAATGCTTTCCTCACCCAAAAGGTGAACGCGCAGCTCGTCAAAGTGTTACAGATTCTTTTCGCGACTCCTTCGACCTTCCACAACGACAAACTCAACAGCAGTGCAGTTCAATCAGGCTGGCGCTAACACGACGGCATCAATCAGCGAGCGAATCAGCCGGGACCGCATTCGCAGAAACTGAAAACTTACTCCAAAGCGTATGCGTTCGTTTGTATACGATAAGTTTTTCAGACAACGGTTGTACTTCTTGGCGTGTTATTCGCGAAGCCGACAGGCCACAAAAGAGGGAGCACTTACGAACGAAATCCGGCGAATTATTTTGCACGCTGACGTAAGCGATTGCGATCTTGGCAAAACGGCAAAGCCGTGACACAGCATGCGCGTAAATATGCTCGACAGAAACGACAGCACAGCAGAACGAGTCCGGCAGTGTCAACGCGTACAAAAGAAGGCGCCGAACAATTCCCAACGATCGATCTTTCCCGAACGATGGCCGTCGAACATTTTTTTTTCCATGAACCGAGAGCCTACAGTGTACAATCACCGCGCGTCGGACGTCCAAGAATGCAAATAATAAATGCGTTTTCACATGTGGAGCTCAATAGTATCCGACAAGAAGAAAAAAAAAAGCAAAGGAAGGCACAGACGTGTCGAGAATAGTTAAAGAGATCTGTGAAACCATATACAATGAACGAATACCTAGGCGTATCGGGTATATGCCACAGGTTTTCAATGCTCCGGCATACTCGTTAAGGGGACGTTTAAATAATATATGCCACATGTTTTTAAGCAACGCTGTATGCTGAGTGCTATCATGTGTCAACGAGCCAACCAAATGAGCAGCGTTTTCACGTTGGCAAAGACGGCTGGCGTATCTGCCCCAAACACATGTAAGGTAGATCATCACATATATAGGCTTACACTGCGTTTATACCATGCGCACCTATATTACATCGTGTTCGAGTAAACTACCATGTCACTCTTATGCACTATTCTTCATACAGGGCTTTGAACAGTGCCCATACTTGACCGGGAAAGAAATCGGTCCTTCTCCCACGATTTAGGATGCTTGTCTCTCTGCAGTGAGTGTGTCACGAGCATCTGAAGGACGAAAAGTGACCTCAGGCATGGATCGTATCTCAAGCGGCAGTATGCGACGGCCCCTACACTTCACTGTAAAAAACGCTTTCGCTCTACCGTTTACGGTAGAGCGAAAGCGTTTTCATATTCACTCGCCGGCATCTTTTTAAGATGCCGGCGAATGAATATGAAAATAACGATGCAATGATTGGCAGATGTCTTCATCAACTCTTTGCAAGCGAAATTGATGGCCAACATTAAAGAGATATTTGATTTATTTTTAGACTGCACAGAAGACAATGGTGCGCTCGAGACGGACGGACGGACGGACGGACGGACGGACAGACGGACAGACGAACGAACGAACGGACGGACGGACGGACGGACGAACGAACGAACGAACGAACGAACGAACGAACGAACGAACGAACGAACGAACGAACAGGTACGGACGAATGGATGGAGACAGACAGACAGACAGACAGACAGACAGACAGACAGACAGACAGACAGACAGACAGACAGACAGACAGACAGACAGACAGACAGACAGACAGACAGACAGACAGACAGACAGACAGACAGACAGACAGACAGATAGATAGATAGATAGATAGATAGATAGATAGATAGATAGATAGATAGATAGATAGATAGATAGATAGATAGATAGATAGATCATTTAATCGGTTTGTGAGCCACAGCGACCGTAAGACCGTAATTCATTTTGCCGATTCACTCTTTCATGGTCACGTGTCGTATATCACCGCACACCTCCCGCATTCTGCGGACACGCGGGCTCTCTTCCTGTTTGATGTCTCACTCTCTCTCAGTCTCATATTTGGAGGCACGCCGATATGCAGAAACACCTGGTCACAGCAATACCTGCAGCATATCCCATTTGCAGCTGCGATCACGAGCGCAGAACACAATGGCACCCCACGTCGCTTCCGCAACGCGACCTGCTTGCGTGCGTGCGTGTGTAAGCTCGAACTTCATTCCGCATTTTGCTCTCGACCACCGGCAAAACCGGGTTTTTAATTCGCGCCACGCAGCGACGCCTCGGATGAGGGGAAGTCCCGGATGGGACATATGGACGGACAGCGAAAAAAGGTAGATAAAAGCATCAGAAAAAAAATAAAAGAAAAATAAAGGTTATACGACGACGCTTTCATTCATTCAGTCGACAGGCATGGAAAGTAAATCTTTGCCTCAGAATTGGTGGTGCTGCGTCTGCGCTCGTGACGGCCCGTGATTTATCTTTTTGTTTTTGTTTGTTTTCTCTCTTCACGCACGGTATACGTTAATTATCGCGCCGGGAAAGTTTAGACGGCACCGAAAGAAAGTGCGGAGAATCTCATGCTTGGCGCGAACAAGTGGCATGCAGCGCGCCGCCGCGCTATACAATCTCTATAAAGTACGGCTCTTGCGCGGCGCGGCCAATGACAACACGTGACATCAACGACGTCTTATACAGCCGCGTAGTGCTGGAGGCCAAATCCGCGCGGTAAGGCAAAAAACAAAAAAAGCGAGAAAATGATAAGCAATAAATTGGTTAAACGGACGCTCGATTCGCACCTGCGCGGTGACAGCAATTAGCGCCTACTGCGCAGCGCTCCTCAGCTCCGAGGTCACAGATTCGCTTCCCGGCCAAGGTGGCTTTGCTTCGATGGCTACAAAATAAAACCGTGCCAATTCACTTATATTCATGAATTTTTTTGGACTTTCGTGGGTGTGTGGATTCACTGATTTGTAAGTTGTTTTTGTTTACCTGATTAGAGCGGCTGTAGCTCAATGTTCTTGAAACTTCTTTGGTTCGATGTTTTCCATACTTATGATACGACGAACTTTATTCGTAACACAATAACTTCATTATGCGCAAACAAGCGTCGTATCAATCACGTCACCACCAGCAGTGCGGGGAGCATGAACGAGGTCTCGCTACCAGCATTTTGTTTCTGGGTAATTATCATTTGTTATTGTAGAAGGGTAATTTATTACACAGATCAGCCTCGCTGGCCAAATGAAAATCAGTAAACACCTACACGACGCTTAATATTATACAGATATTTCTCAGCAAAGCCAGAAAAGAGATTCGAAGCGCTGTATAAAAATTTTACTGTAAGCAATGACTTTTTTTTTCTGTTTAAATTCGTTCTCGCAATTTACTTCTTATTCTGCTAGTCACAGTCAAAACCTCAGTAAGTTGCATCTTCCCATTTTCCATTTCCATGTGGAGATCGATGTCCACGATACGGCGTTAAAACGTCAACATAGCGATACAACGGACGCAAGACGATTGTATACTGAACACGGTAAAAGCATAGCAGCACGGCCGGCGAAACCCAACAAATATAATCGAGGGCACACAGATACGCAGCAGCGTATACTCACCACTTTCGAGTTGTGAGATCTTGTCCTCAGCCTCGTGTAGCTTGAGGCAGACCTGGGACTGGGACTCCTGCAGTGCCCGCTCCTTGTCCGCCAACTGCCGCTGAAGTTCCAACAGCCGCTCCGCACTTGGGATCTGCATGCAGAACACACACAACACTGGGTTACGATGCGGGGGATGGCGTACGTTATTAACACAGTCCGTGCTAGCAATAGCTGCAGGAAAGCGGACATTTTTGTGTAGTTTCCTGGATATATAACCACCGGGACCTCACTAAGAGTGTCCTGATGATATCCGCGTTAGTTTAACTAACTGCAGAGATAACGTGCACGGATTTCTGAAAACATGAACGTCGTTATTTATCATTTCGTCAATGTTGTAACGAAGCCGCCGCCACCGATATTCAAACCTGTGCCACCCACCTAGGCTTCACAGTCCCGCACTATAGTCACAACTACAGGTTGCGGGTATTTCCAGAGGCTTGCATTTTGAGACTTGTCCACGAAAGCACTTCTGAAGTGTACGTTAGGCTGTACTGCCAGGCATCCAGCAATCCTTTTCTTTAGTGCGTTGGCACGCTAATTCTAATATTGTGCGAAATAAGTGGCCATTTTAATATCTGCCCTGATATTATTGGCAAGATCAAATAACTGGTTAGTCGGTGTTGCTAGGCCTTCTTGCGAGTCGACGTCTTTATGTCGTCGGTGGAAGTTGTCTTCGTACTACAAGCAAGCATGAAAGACGTTAGTAATAATCATTTCCATGCTCTTCAACAACTTATCCATAATTTTTACTTCTTTCGCTGCGAGTTTTGAGAAGGCAAGGCGGCGCTAGTACGTACAATTTTGTTGCCGCTAGTAAGCAACAATAATCAAGCAAATGACTCTACAAAACACCGCACGATTAGCCGGCGTCGAGGGAATTCCGGTCACTCCAGGACAGCACTGCAAATGTGAAGCAAGAGCCGACCAAAAAAGAAAAAAACGTCATGTCTGCCACAGCGTCCGCTGCAAGTGGCGTCCGTTCACATTTCTTTCGCCTGAAAATGGCGGCCATGCCAACATCAGTATCGAGCCAGTTGCGAAGCCTCGATAGCCTCGTAAAGAGAACTCTGGTGCCAATTTTTCGCTCGCCGCAGCCTCCTATTCGTTTGTCTTTGTTCCTAGAAGCGACAGTGCAAGGACAGCACCCGTGAACGAATTCTGCCCTGTGCCCTAATCAAGTAGCGAAGGCCAGATTGAGTGCTTCAGTGCGATTCAACAAAAAAAAAAAAAAAAAACTTGCGAGCGCTCTTTGCGTATAAGGTGCGAGCCCCTCGATGCCACCTCAAAACACAGTGACCCGTACTGTAAGCGGTAAACGCCACGGATGATCGCCGACTGCACGAAAAGGTCTCCATCGCCTTTCTCTTCTTCATCGAAGAAAGCTATAGTCGTTGCTGAACTCGTATTGCGCTTGCTTTCGTCTTTCTGAGAAGTTATAACACGCACAGGATTGTTACAATTATGCGTGTACACCTTTGTTGTCGGTTTTCTAGGAATTAAAAATTATAACCGTGCGCCTCGTAGTTTGTTTCCATAACATTGACGGATGGGCTTTATGTGGTATGGCGCAATGTGCCGTTGTTGAAGACACTGCAGTGTTTTACAGTGAAGTAAAAAAAAAACTATGGCAGCTGCTATAGAACGGAAAAACGCAAGAAGCAGTCACGTGACGTATTTGCCAGCGTTTAAAACAGCATCATTGGACAAGAGAAGCACACACGTGGCGATCGTCAAGATGCGCTTAAAGTAAATAGACAGTTTGGAATGCGCAACGGCCTTACAAGCTACTAGAAGCCCTAAAGGGGACGAGAGTATACGCATGCGCACAACGTATGAGGGACGCATGGTGCCGCGCAGGAGAGATTTACACGCCAAAGTCGCCCCTGCATAACAACAACAACAACAAAAAAAAAAAAAAAAAAACGTTGCGTGCCTTAAGCGGCATTAGGGAGTTTTAGAATACCGTTTGCAAGCACTGCAGGCATTGCAGGCACCATATCAGCTTTAGAATAGCGTTTGCCCTGCTGCAAACCACAACGCACGATCGCAGCGACACCGTATAGCCTCGAAACCAGCGCTTGCGGGCCACATGCGGGCCGCGATCGCCGCACGCAATTTCGGATTTTCTGCGTGCGGTCCGCAAACGCCGACTCGCGTTACGACGCATGCGCAGTGGCAGCGACCGCACCGCAAGGGCTCGCGGTGCGCTATATTCTAAAATCTGCCTATTGTTTCTGCCATTGCCGCACGATGAGGGGCTGCACTGTATCGCATATAGCTCGCCTTGCCTCGTAAGCACAGTCCTCTTGTTGACCTGTGTTGGCATGGTCCGTGCCTTCAGTTGTTTCTACCAGTATGTCGACTATCTCAGTTAATGCTTTGTTATTAGGTGGCGCGGAGTTACATGCAAGCGCAACGATATGTACACATGAGAAATGTTTTAGGCCTACGGCAAGATAACACAGCGGGACATGGAGCCAATACCTGTTACGCAGAGAACTAACTGCACGTCGCATACGTTAAAGTAAAACTGCGTACTTAGGACTTGCATATGTACTTAAAACTTCCGTAGTAATATATTATGTAATACGTAGTAATATAATATGTAGTGAGTGGAAAACACTCTTTCAAGAATGAAATTTTGCCACGAATGGTCGCGGCACCACGCAACGAAGAGGCACCGAAGAACATACGTTTAAACAGGTTAATTACATGAAGCATATCATCAAACGCTGCTTTTTTTACTGTTAAACTGGGGGCTACATTCGGTGTAAAAGACCTCTAACGTAGCTGTTTACCTTGTCTCATAATATTTCAGAAAGACGAGAGCAGAGAACGAGAAAACGTCAATCATCTAGTAAAAAAATGCAAAATAAAATAAATAAGTAAATAAAATAAAACAAATTAAAAAGAACAGGCATCAAATGCTAAAAAGTTACTAATTAACTTTCAAGACATCCATAAAACACTTAAAATGTGTAGAGCACACAGAAACTGTCATCATCCTTTCTGCGCTTGTATTCGAGCATCCACGAGGCTAAGAAATAGAGAGAGAGAGAGATGTATACTGAAAAGCTGAAGATGCTCCCCTGGCTATACGCCTGACGTGATACTCCAGGTGCTGGGCTAAGAAACAGCGCTTTTCAGTTTCGGTGAATGGGAAAGAGCCGAGCACACAGCGTCCATGACGAATGAGTTGCAATAGAGGATGTTATTTACGCATCAACCTAATCTCCAATCCTTCCCACACCTATACGTCATATACAACAACTGCCGCACTGGAAGCTGCAAGTGTATACGCTGGGCTCGCTACGCTTGCGAAACTATACGCAAGGATTATTCGAATATGCAAATCCCTGCGATCCTTTCGGAAACTCGATTCCTGAGTCGTACGCGATTAGAGGAAAAGGGGAGAGCGATCAAAGCACCTCCTGGCGACAACTGTGAGCAGACATTTAGCTGCCGCAATGGACGTGAGAATTTGATGCAAAAAAAAAAAAAGAAGAATAGAAAGAGGCGGGAGGCGATGAAATTGTGCACGGTAAACAGACACACACACACAAGGTAGGCGCTGAGGCATTCCGAAGCCGTTGGGAGCGTGCACAAAAGATGCCGCCCAAACGCCGCTTCGGGAGCCGAGGGAGTCAGCAGCCGTGTCTCGCCGCGGAAGGGGGGGAAGGAATCCCATAGTTATTGTTGTTGACGTGGGCTCGCCAATGGGCGGCATTGTGTCCGAATCACACGGGTCGCCGGAGCCTGCGACTCCTCAATGGGCGCGGATAAATAAGACGTCGTTCACGCGCCCCCTGGATTATATGGAAGGGGATACACGGGGGCTCCTCGACGTTGTTACGCGAGAAGCTATCCGAGAAGAGAGATCGTGTGAGAATCTCGTGGAGAGAGCACTTAACGTCTGCGCCGCGACGGAAATGCGTATCAATGGGCGACTGTCAATCAACCACTTTGGCTTCGGCTTTCCGTTTAGCGTTTGTCGCACCCGCGCGCGTTTGTTGACTTCCTCCTGTCCCGTTTTTTTTTATGTATAGTTTCGAGTTTTGATGGACGCCTTTATTTTGACAAGACGTCAGGCTCCACGAATCGGGCCATCGGTGGCGTCGACCGCAGCTTGTAAGAATGGATGCGGTCTTCGGTTACGATGACGCAACATTTCTGGGCACAGTTGGGCTGCCGTGTGAGTGAGGCGTAGCAGGTTCGATGAAAGTTTAATGAACATTTGGATTTCATTACAATTACTTAATTAACGTATGGCTCAATAAGGATCACTGGGAATAAATTCATATAGATAGCATATTAATTCATTAACTTGATTTCAGAAAACCAATGTGTAAAGTTTTATCGAACCCAAATATCGTGTCTTTAGTTCTCCAAAAGGAAGATGATTGAACTTTGAGACTTCCTTGATTACAAACGACGAATCACTTCTGTTATGACCAATTTACAATTATCCACGAACGCACAAACAAACTATATTTAAAAGATGCTTGGTATGAAAGGGATCGGACCGGAACCTATATAGGTCCCAGAGCATTGGCACTGTTCCATGATGACCGAGAATAATAATAGACAGAAACGGCCTTTCAGCGACAGTATAGAGTCGACCATCGATCACGGGAAATAAGTACGGTGTCGAAAGCGAAACTTTCATCGAGCGGCGAATATGGAAGGCCAACCGAGCGAGGTCCTCGGCCAAAAAAAAAAAAAAGCTAAAAAAAGTGCGTGTGTGCAACGTTTCCATACTATCGCGTGGGCAGCGCAGATAGGGGGGCACATATACACGACAGACGGACAGACCGCTGTGCATCATCGATGAATTCCAACCATCCTTTATCCTCATTTCCCGGGACTGCAAGAGAACGCATTGCCCGATTGGGCCCAGAGCGATTCCTCGGACGGGGGATGCAGTGTAGCCGCTTTGTGGTGGAGCCTCTTGACAAACGAGGGCAAGAAGTAGAGTTACAAAAAAATGGCCACGAAGACGAGGCCTTGGGAGAACGAGCATGCATGCGATGCCTATGCAGTTCGGAGCGGGTGGGTGGGTGGCGAGCCTGGAATGAGGGTCATACATCTACC